GTTCCAGTTTGCTTGAGGTTGATTAACTCGCCCAGCGGGTTGCTTGTCAACGGTGGTCCGAACCTGAGGAGACAATATGATTTAAACTGCCCCCAGCTGAGACTGGGTTCTTCTTGCTCCAGTTTGTAGAACCAGAGCTGCGCCTCTTCTGATAGGTGGAAGGCGGCCAGACTGACTTTATCCTTGTCATTAGTACGCTGGTTACGGAAGAACTGTTCGCAGCAATACAGCCATCCTAACGGGTCTCCGGTGCCGCTGTAAGATGGAAATTCCAGCCGGCTAAACTTGGGAATAACAGCGGCTGTTGGGGCAGCGATCTGCTGTTCGTTGGACGTCTCTGTCCAGTCCGGACGACGGCTGTTGGTGGTGGCGGTTCCCTCAGAGCTTCTTTCTTTGTTGGAGAGGAATGCTTCCAGCAGGCGTCGCAGCTCCCGGACATCATCCTTGACCTCACGAACCTCCAAGCTGGTTTCAGCGAGCCTATGCTCTAGCTCGTGGACCCTGGAAGACAGCGGCTCCTGTTCCCCCATGACAGTAGGCTTTGATACCAAAATGTTATGGGCCCGGGTGTAGGATCTTGTCACGGGTCGGTCCACGGGGAGAACCTCTTGCTTCCCCTTGCGCTTCCCTTGCGTGCAAACCCTATTGTGGAAAACCGAGTGGGTGATTTGTCCAAGAGACCACCCAAACTCTCCTCACTCTTCTCTTGACTGGAAACTGAATGCCTTTATTTCAACTCATAGCTCCTTAAATAGGAGATTACAAAAGGGGGGTTCCTTGTTGGATTCGGCTAGGCTAGGGTAATCCATATCAAACTCAAACTTCTACTTCTAAATAAATTACCTACTTCTAATGGTAACACAACCCCTACTTCTAGTGGCAATAGAACTCTTACTAAGAAGATAAGATAAGATAAGGATAAGGGATGAAGGATAATGCAGCTGGCGGCGAGTTGGCGAGCAGAGCTGTTGTGGCAAGATAAGTGTGGGCCCACTCTACTGAGCTGTCGTGTGGGCCCCTCTCTAGTGCTGCTGCCGGATGGTGCGTGTGTCTCCTAAGTGCTGTTGCCGGGTGGTGCGTGCTGCTGCCTATGATTGCGTGCGTCCATAACAAAATCTGAATCTTTCCCTATATTAAATTACTCGTAGGTAAACCTTTTTTCTTTTGATAAGTCTCCGTGGTGAATTTTTCTGCTGAACTTTTACATCCATGTACTAGGAATAGTTTTCTACATTATGGCTATGTTTGGTTCTGTGGTTGTTTATTGGAAAAATGCCGCCACATCAGCGTCACTTAGGTGTTGGCATTTATTGTGCATGAAACCACTGTTTGGTTTCAACATTTATCAAACAAATATACATTAAAAAGCAGAAACACTTGGATTTATGTGCATGAACCATTGCGGGAAACTTCAAATTCTGGTTTCTTCCAACGGCCCAATGTTTATTGAAATGCAATGCTTACCTGGAGCATTGTAAGCTGAGTTGGAAGATAGCTTTATGGGGTGTTACTTGAAATGCCCAACCAAACAACAAAAAACAATAAACGTTTAAAGTTATGTTTTTCAATAAAATGCTTATCTGAGAGACACCCCATCTATAAATGCCTATGGGACCAAACACATACTATATTTGAGTTTCTAAAGGTCATCTGACCCAAAATTTCAACCCACAAGCCCATCTCCACCTTTGCAAAGTGAACCTCTGCATCTTTTCCTTCTACTTTACTAAGTGGTCAAAAGGTACTTTAATGGTGATTATAGATAATGAACAATATAGTTCCTAGAATTTGAAATTAAATCCATTGGACCTTGTTCAAGGTTTTCAGGAAAGGTATTTATGTCCAAAGTATTGATATCAGTAGAAAGTTATCCTGTACAAATAGGGACACAATATTGCTAAATATTTGCTTATCTAGAAAGTTTTGGAAGTACCGTGGAAGGCCCAAATTCTGTTTTATTTTTATTTTTTTTTGCTTTTTATTAGATTTCAAAGAATACTGAGTGAGGCACAATCAACACCTAGGACTCAATTGTGATAGGCTATTTCTAGTTTCTTTCCTTGCAGTCTCCTTACAGATA